GCTCCTGGTGTCCTCCAGGCCTTGGCTCAGCCCTGGAGCTGTTTGCTGAGAGAGGCAGCAAACAGACATAGCCCTTTGGCAGAAAATGTAGCAGTGTCAGGAGGGCCCAGGGGGTGCCAGTCTGCCTGACCCCACATCTGTGCCCTCTCCCATCCCCAGATTGCTGTGTGCTCCTTCTCCTGTTCCATTTCTGAAGCCTAAAACCAAGAGGAAAACCTCTCTGCCATCTCTGTCCCACACTGCATCCCTGCTCCATTTGGTCCTCATCCCTGCAGAAACCCTCAGGGCTGTAAATCCAAACACAAGGATTCTACTAATGTCTGTATTTTTGTTAAACTGCTTCAATTTGAACAAAGCTGCTGTGCAATTTTTCCAGTCTTCCCCCTGATGTGCTGCAGAGTTTGGGAAGAGCACCACACAATTCAGCTGGAGCTAGTTCCAGCCTCCTGTGGGTTTATTGCTTGGAATAATGCACAGCCTAGGCTCAGCTCTGCTCTCCCTCAGAGGCAAAACGCCAGCTTGAGTGTGCAAGTATTTTTAGTAGTGCTGTTCTCCGCCTCCAGCTAAACCATAACCCCCAAGGGCACAGCTATTCCAAGCACCTTTTCCCAGTTTAAGTAATCTCCCGCCAGGCACAGATTACAGGTTCAGGGAGCAGCAGCCAGCAGTGTGTGCCCCAGGGCTGGTGGCTTGGAACACAACCCTCAGAGCTGTTTGCTGCCCCTTGAATGCCTGATGTGCTTCTCCTGGCACACCCTCTATAAATGCAAGTGTCATCCCAGCAAAAGGGAAAACACACCAGGCAAAGGGGCAATAGGGATGTTTGGGGGAGCACCCAACCTGGTGCAGCCACCACTGGGTTTGGACAGGATTGCCTTCTTTGGAGAGGAACACAACTTGCTGGGCCAGGTGAGACACCTTTCCCCCGAGTGAAGCCGGTGTGCCAGGGAGAGAAGCTATGGGTTGGCTGGCTGAGGCTGGCTGGGCATGGAAAGGGCAGTCTGGCCATTCCTGGCTGAGGGACTGACAGCAAAGTATGTTCTAGCAGCTTAATGGTGACTTAATTGTTCTTTTGAAGTGCCAAGGAGAACAAAATAAAAGGCTATTTTTGGGTTTTTTTTAATCCCCTTCTTAGGTTACCAGAAAATCCAGGCTCAGCTCTGATGGGAATTGGGAACAAACTGTCCCCACTGCACTAGACCCTGACCGACACCACCACGTTAGGAGTAAAAAGGCAGTACCATGATGCTGAGAGGGCTTCCAGTTCATCTTTGGAGGGTTTTCTGTTCCCTGGAAGTGTCACAGAGCATTGTGAGAACAGACCTGCTCTGCAGGGACTGGCTGCAGGGTCTGCAGCTCCCACCTCATGAGGGTCAGGTGAGACTCTGCAAGGGGCTGGTCCTGCCAAGTAGCTCATCCTCTTGGCTCCTACCAGATCAGTGGTGCTGAAGGTCCTTGGTGCTGCCCACAGTCCTCCAAAGTGCAAACCAGTTGCCCTTCAGGTGACCAAAAGGGACTCAAGACCAATCCCAGCATGAGTCACGTTCCAGCAGGGCCTGGGGAAAAAAACCCCACACCTTATCTTGCTTAAACACAAAGCAAGAGTGAAGGTCACAAGATAGGGCCAGGAGTGGAAATCTGAAACACCAGGGGATTGTATTTGACACCAGCAGAGGTATCAGCAAGTTTTCCTGCAGTGGAGGAGACAACTCCAGTGCTATCTGCTGGTGTATGGGCAGATATGAAGTTTCTCCTGAGCTCTGAAACATGCTTGTGAGAAAGCTGGAAATTTCCTTCCCAACTCTTTATTTTTCCTTCTGTGAGAGGGGAAACTTTTTTTTCAAGTGACCTTGCCTGGCCATGGTCTGCGTGTCGTGAGATTGACATCGGGGCACTCCATTTCCCACAGACTCTGCCCCAATGTGCAATGCACTTCCAGGTCCTGGGGCCAGTGCAAAGTTCAGCTGAGGATCACTCTGTTTAGCTGTGCTGGGGGCTCATAATCCCAGTGGGTCAAAATGTTTAGATTTAAAGAGGTTTTTCTGAGGGGGTATTTAAACTCCAGTTGTCAAACCACTTGCACAGAGCAAATGGATAGGCTCAGCCAGCAATGCATTAAATTGCTGTTTTCTTGTCATTCATCTAACAGCATCCATTGCTTGCATGTTGCCCTAAGAGAGTAATTAATCTGTGGCAAATTTATGCCTATAAAATTATAAATAGATTAAAAAAAAAAAAACAGTGAAGAAACTCAAGGAGACACACGTGGATGAGAGCCACACCAGGAAGGGTCTTCGCACAGCCATGGGAATGCCTTGGGGGTCTGATCTGTTCAGAAATTCACCTAAGGGACTTGCAATCTGCCCAAAAGCCAGAGAACCTACTGGAGGGAGCTGCACCACTCTTCATTATCAGCAGTTTCCAGGCTGAGTCTTTGTCTGCCTCTGTAACCCCCTTCCCACCCACACACATTCCTTTCCAGCAATGCTGCTTTATTTGGCTTGTCATTATCTTTTTGTTAAATCCACTTCATTGGTGCGTTTAATTCTTTGTGTTCCTTAATAGTCCCTCTGATACCACTCGTTTCCTGAAAAATGCAGCCCTGGCCTTAAGTATGACATTTCAAAACAGTATCTAAATTGAGCGAGGTCTTGGCAGTGCCAGTGTCAGACTGTGCTGCTCCTACACGCCCCATAAAACACGAGGCATGATACAGCAAGCTGGACTTGATGAGCTGTGAAACTGCCCAAATCACACAGCCAGGGTACTGCCAGACACCCAAAGTCTACTGTTCCACAAACTCCTTTAGGACAAGGAAGGCACCTCCCCCAGACATGGGCTGCAGAGCTGTTAGTGCTTCCACCACAGACTGAAGGGGATCCTCTCTCTGCTGCTCAAAGGGGATTAGTGTAGTTCACCATGTGCTCTGTACCTAATTTCCATAGCCAGATTCACCAGGAATCTAAGGAAGAAAATCCTAGCTGGAAGAGGTGTCAGCAAAATCCATAATGCTAACATAATTACATTCAGGAAGAAAAAATAATTAACTATTCCTTTGGCAATTTGGTTTTGTTTGGGGAACTGCTGGAAGCTTTACGCATAAAAATGCCCCAACCTCAGGGCACCATCAGCTGCAGCCACACTGGGAATTTTGCCAGTATAACCCACTCCCAAGTGTCCCTAGCCATTGTCAAAAGCAGCACACAACTTTGATATGGAATGAGAAGCTTCCTCCCTCTCAGTGAGTGCTTGTCTTGGGGGGTGGGGACAGGGGGAGGTTGTCCTTTAAGGGCTTTGATCCACACAAATTGTATACCACTGAAAACCGTGCTCAGCCCAGGCTGGTGCTGCAGCTTTTGCTGGGGGTGACACTAGGGCAAAGCTGGGCCTGGTACCCACATGGCATCAGCCAAAGGGCTAGAGCAGACAAAAGCAGGAAGGAGCAAGAATCTAACCCCTACACATCCCCTCTTAGGGTTTCTGCTGGTCAGAGCACAACACCTCTAACTGCTAGCAGAGACCTGTGCACAGATAGAGCCCAAAGGTAAAGGCTTTGCTTTGTTCTCAAACTCTTTGTAACTCCTGGATGGAACAGTAAAGCCTCTCTAAAAGTGTGGGAGGGAAATCAGGAAAAAAACCCAGCAAAACCTCCTGTAGTGCCACATGTTCTTAATCTAGATTTTTTTTTTTTCTGCGTCTGGGGAGCAAGGAGTGGAGCAGGGTGTCTCCAGGTGGCTGTCAGAGAAGGGGCTCCAGGGCCTTTCCCTGCTGCTGTCATGAGGCCCTATGTCTGCAGTGCAAACAGCACATTTCTGACACGGCAACAACATGAAGTAAATTCCAGGCAGGAACCAGACAAGTTGTAGTTTTAACACGCTAACATGCTCTACCAGGGGAAAAGCCAAAGTATTTTTAGCATGGTCTGAGTGTTTGTCTCTGCACTGCACTGGCCTTTTTTGGAAGCACGGGCTCTGGAGACAAATACAATAGCCTTTGCAACAGTGAAACATCACCTAGTTTCTTTTATTGTTTGCCACAGAGAAGACTATGAGTTGTACTTCCGAAGAGATTAAAGCAGAAACATACATCAGCTACTTCTGCCACAGCTCATGCCCTTCACACCACCCAGCTCACTTACCAGTTCCCTCATTTCGCCCATGCCCCACCAGCCTTTCCTCCTTACATGCTTAGCTCTGACAAAATCTCAGGGGGGAAAACATTTTTCCTCATGACGAAATTCCATCCTGAGTGGTTGCTTGATGGTGTTGCCTCTCCCTCTCCTGTCTGAACAGCAGGCAAGTGCTCCAAGAGGGTCAGTGAGATAATTTGCACACCACGTCCCACGTACTGCCCTCTGGTCCTGCCCCTCACACGCCACTCGGTCCCATTGCCACAACATGACAGGGAGCAGCATCAGCTGCCAGAATGTTTGGGTTTATCCCATCAGAGACCCTCTGCTCTGTGCTGGGGCAGAGCCCAGCATGGCAGAGTTAGGGATAAAGAAAGAGATGGAGTTTGAGCACAAACATAACCACAAGAACCAACACAAGTCTGAGGACTGAAAGAAGGATCACATGGCGTGGAGGAAGGACTCTCCCCTTCTCCTGCTTTCTTATCCCATTTCCAACAATCCCTTCCTCCTCCCCTCCACCTGGCACTAGCATAAGCATGCAATACAGCCCCAGGGGACACACACCTGACAGCCCACACTGCACACCAGCTGGGGCCAGCAAGGTCCAGCCACACGTGCAGGTCACCCAGGGAAACAGCTCTTGAAAAGATGAGTGGTGAGAGAGGCTCCTGAGGCTGAAAAAGGAGACTGTGGATGATCATCTGCTCCCAGACGAAGGGAGAGGAGAACAACTCTTTTGTTTGTCTTGATTCTTCTCTTCCTCCTCTTCAGAGGTTGCCATTGCCAATCTGGAGTTACTTCTCCAGTTATTTCTTGCTGCTTCTGGAGTGGGGCAGGTGATGGGGCAGGGGGCTGCGCCTGGCGACAAGGACTCATCTCTCAGGCAGCAGGACGAAGAAGATGGCCTTGAGGAAGTGACCAAAGCTGCAAACAGCAGCCACGAGCCAGTGGGAGCGAAGGCTGGGGTCAGTATTCACCACACACTTCGTGATGTCTGCCTAAAGAGGAGGGAAGAGAGATGGTCAGAGAGACACCCACAGCAACCACCACCGCAGGGTCTGCATAACCCACGGCTCTGCACCACCACTGCTGCAGCACCAGGTGTTTGCTCTGCACACAGAGTCAGTACATCAGGCCCTGCAAAATGCACCTTCCTCATTCCCCACCAAGCAAGGCAAAGTGTGCCCCTTCTCAGCCACCCCTGGGGAAAGAAATGCTGCAAGGAGATTGTACAGCATTTTGGATAGCTAAGTACAAGAAACTTCATTCCCCTGCTCAAAAGGGCTAGGAAGCCTTGGCAGTATCAGCATTCCTATCATTTTCTGTAAAGCCAGATGCTTTCCAGAGGTTGTCCTGCTTAGTATCAGCTCAAGTTGTTTGCACTTTTTCTCTTGCCTCAATGTTTGCTTTGGAAGACATTCAAGCAAGCCAATCTGCAGTCTAAACCTGGAGCAATGCAAGCTTTGTATGGGGAAATGTGTTCTGGCAGAGATGCCTTCCAGACGTGTGGGCCACACTGAAGATCACTTGGGCAGCTGGTTTCAGGCCTTAGCAAGAAGAAAAGCTGGTCTGCAATGAACACCAACAACCTAGAAAACTGATGAAGACAGGCTCTCAGCCAGCATGGGGAGGAGAAGGTGGGAAGTGTCTGGAGGGTAAAGTGAACAGGACAGACGTAGAAAGAAAACTGCATTTTCTGGTGGAGGACTCAAAATCAAAAGCTCTGCCTGCAGTACAACTGAGCTGCGGTTAAGCTCCAGCCAAGCACAGGGAGCTTGTGGCCTGTTGTTGTGTAACACAGAGTGCACTGTTAGCACATCAACCCCGTGTGATTTTCAGAAACAGCTTTGGGGTGGCAAATGAGAACAAGACTCAGGCCACAAGGAGAGCAAATGTTTACAGCTCCAAAAACCTCTTCTTTACGAGCTTAGCTCAGCAGTCTTCCAAGTTTGCTTTCTGACACAAGTCCCTTGTGGACCAAGCAGAGGGAAGTCAGACTCTCAGCCCAGGGGTGTTACTCCCCAAAACAGGACACAAGAGCTGATCACTACTCCAACAACCTCCCCCAGTCGTTATGCCTGTGCTTAAGACATGGGTGAGCCTCACCTGACCATCCTTGGCCATGAATAGAAGAAAGCTAAAAGGGGCTGAAGGGACAAATCCTTGTGTCTGGTTAGTGACCAACAGCCACACTAGCTGACACCGCCACCACCTATAGACCAAAGCTCTGCTGAGAGCGGCCTCCCACACATTTCTCCCTCGCAGGGAAGTCTGGAAGGCTGGCACACTGCAGCTCCCTGCACTGCTGATCTCCAGGGAGCATCAGGAGACACTGAGCTCATGAATAACTGACAAGCAGAGACTGCAGAGGGAATGAATACAGGCATAAAAGGATGGGAAGAAACAGGATCACAGGAGGAAGCTGAGTCAGCACCAAGGTGTGGAAATGCTGCTGCCTATAGCCAGAAAAACACAAGCAAACGTAGCAGGCAGCTAAGATAGCTAACAGAAGATGCTGCAATGTGGTAGTTTATGGTCACTGTACCAGTGCTGTGGAGGAAAGTAATGTGGGTCTCCCTGAGTGCTTCCAGCAATGGCTTAGCACACTCACCCTGTCTGCATTTGACAGAAGTCTGCACTGAATCAGCCTGTTCAACCCTCTTGCCCTGCACAGTGTCATGTTTGAAACACTGCCAGTCAAGCTGTGCCTGAAGTCGAGAGGAGCCATGGCATGCAGGTCCCTGTCTGAACACCTCTGCTAGGTGCCTGACACAGGAGAAACACGAGCTCTGAAGGCCTCAGTGCCTCTCATGAGCCAGTACAAGGCCCAAACAGGCACAGGGGGTTGATCACAGCTGCAGAGGGTTAACTGCCAGCTAAGAGAATGTGAACCCCTTACAGCCATGCTATGCCATCCCAAGGGCGACCCACAGTCAGAAGCACTTACAAGTTTGTATGGAGCTTGCTCAGACAAGCAAAAGGGCTCAGCAGTTTAACAGTTGCCTTAGCTGTTGTTCTGCAAATAAAGCACACCTGATAAGGCACTGGAAATGAATGCTTCAAAGCTACTCAATACAGCAGGTCTTTGGGCCTTGTCAGGCACTGATAAACTGCTGCAATGGCAGTTTGATCTTTGATGTTAATTATTCAAACAAGTTCAGCCACAGGTACTGCTCTGTAGCAATTGCTGCTAAAAACCCTTTCTATTCCACTGTAAAGCCACTACTGAGGCTGCAAACTCTGCCCAGGGAGATGCCCCAAAGGGTCAAACATTTCCTGTTCCTCCTAAGAGGTTTGGCTTGGGTTTTGAGGGGTTAGGTCACCTCCACTCTACAGAGCAGTATGGGAACCTGCTGCTGTGTGGAGAATTTCAAATGCCTTTCCAAGGTCTCTGTGGTGGTTTCTGTGGACCAGCTCAGGGCACAGTGGTTCCCCTTGGCAGCCTCAACTTGAGCCGTGGCACGAGAGGCAGCAGCCATGAGCACAGGGGAAACAAGGCAACTCAAAGAAAGCCTCAAATGACACTGAGCAGGGATTTCCCAGGCAGGAATGGTGCTACTTAATCCCAGGATATCCTCTTCAGCCACCTCAGCACGGTTAGTTGTGCGGATGCAAAACGAAACATCAGGACATTCAAATCAAAGGTTACTTTTAGCCCAACCAAACAGTTCCCTGAGCCAGCTGGCATCAAGATGACACAGTTTTAGAGAGGGCAGGGATGACTTAAGGTAGGATTGGCACTTAGTAAGTGCAAGGGATCCAAAATCAGAACAATGCTACTTTCCCAGTTGCTCTGCTTCAAAAAGGTGCCTTCACTCCTGGAGAAACCAGGTATCTGGACCTGCCAGAGGCACACTTGGGACATCTCAGCACAGAGAAGCAATGTCAGTTTGGAGAAATTCATCCCCCTCTCTGGCTCTGTGTGGGATGAGGAGCCTGACCCTTTTCTGACAGCTCACCAATAAAGTTCACTTCTTGGAAAAGAGGGGAATTTGCTGCTGTGGCTCAGTTTGGAAAGAGTCCATGCCTTGGGAACAAGATGTCCCATGAGCACAATGGTGTCACAGGGCAATATTTAGCTCCAGGCAGCATCTGCCTGGCAGCACACCAAAGTGCTTTGGGTTCCATCACTCCAAGGGGTGTCTGCCCCTGTCAGACACATGGACCTTGGGGCATATGTACCTCTCCCCCAGCTGCCAGCCACTAACAGCCAGGAGGGCACTGGAGAGTCATCTGGCTATTCAACTGCAGAGAAGTAAAGCTCTTACTCTGAACCACCCTTCACAGAAGCACTGTATTTCCCACTGGGTACAGAGGAAATGGACGAAAGCAGATGCTTAGAGGTGAAAAGCAAATCAAGTTGGTAGGCCTCATATTTTTCAGTTTCTAGAAGACAGCTGCCCAAGAGAACCACAGAGTCAGAGACGGTTTGGGCTGGAAAAGACCTTAAAGATGATCTAGTCCAACCTCTCTGCCATAGGCAGGGACACTTTCCACTAGCCCAGGTTGTTCCAAGCCCTGTCCAACCTGGCCTTGAACACTTTCAGGGATGGGGCAGTCACAGCTTCACTGGGCATCCCGTGCCTGTGTCTCACTGGGATAACCCCTGGTTACAACCTCTCACTATGACTGGCTGCTAGTTGCAAGGAAGATCAGGAACAGAACAGGTGCTGGTGAGTCAGGATTGAGTCAGTCTGGCACAGCTATGCAGGAAGCTGAGGACCAGAAGAGCTGATGCTGTCGAGGAGAGGACAAGGAGGCAGTAACAGCTATATAAGTCAAGCAAAGGTTCAGGTAGGACAGAGGTGGCCACAGGGCTGTGGAAGAGAACCTCACACAGCCTTTTCCTGCATAAAGCTGCAGTGGGGGCACTTTCATTAACCAAGATATTTTCTGGTCTGCATGTGCAGGAGCAAGTTCCATCAGACAGTGTTTCTTACCCAGCCTCCTCTCCTCTTCAGCCACGTCACCAAGGTCTTGCGGACGAACTCCCCGAGGCAGTCGACGATGGTATGCACCATGGCTGGCTGCGCGTGGCGCACGCAGTCCACGGCCAGCCCTGCGGCCACGGCGTACAGGGACACCACCTTGCCCCACGTTATGCCTGTGAGCACAAGAGAGGACACTCAGATTCACACACACACACACACAGCTCAGTCTTGAGCAGCCAAAGGCAACGGCTCTCCCTCAGCACGTGTGACCGCGGTGCCTGCACAGCTCTGCCCGGGGCAGACACAGCTCTGCTTGCTCTGCACTGCAGAGAAACGAAACACCGGGGCACTGGGGAAAACTCTGCACCTAGGGAAGCAGGAAAAAATGATCTGATCTTGGGATGGTTTGAGCCCTCTCAGCACTGGGTGCACAGCTTTGGAGAAAGAAGCCCAAAGGCACCAACAGGATAGGGAAGATGTGCATGACCATGGTCTGTATTGCCATTGCTGTGCAGGAGGTGATGGAAACCAAATAGCTAGAACAACCCGAGGTATTTGTCATCAGCACAACTCTTAAACACCCTTTAGACAAAGCATTCCTGGCTTTTTTCCCTGGGTCAGAGAAAACCATTCCAACATGACACGCAAAGCACATGAGATGAGCATCTTCAGTCAGTTCTGTCATGACATGAGAGAAAAGGGAGGCAAAGCTATAGGGCCAAGAAGGTTCATAGAATACCCTGAGTTGGAAGGGACACACAAGGATTATCAAGTCCAACTCCTGCCCTGCACAGGACAACCCCAGCAATCCCACCCTGTGCCTGAGAGCATTGTCCAAATGCTCCTTGAGCTCTGTCAGACTTGGGGTCATGACCACTGCCCTGGGGAGCTGTTCAGTGTCCAAACACCTCTGGAGGAAGAGCTTTGTCCAGATATGCAATCTAACCCCCCAGCACAGCTTCATGCTATTCCTTTGGGTCCTATCACAGGTCACCACAGAGCAGAGTGCCTGACCCTCTACTTCCCCTCATAAGGAAGCTGTTGACCAGGGTTGGTGTCCTCCTCAATGTGAGGAGCATGTCTCATTCTTCACCTAAAAAGCGAAAGTACAAGCTCAGTGGGGTGAAGAGTATCCCTCTTTCCTTCACTGCATTCCCAGCTCCCTAGGCACCCTGACCCATCCCTGAGGTGGAACTCCAGCCTCCTCACACTGTTCTCTCCACAGCAGAGACCCCATCTCTACAAAACATGCAGATTCCAGAACATTTCCACAATTCTTCCTCTTAGTACCTCCAAAGGGACACTCACACTAACACTTTTAGGAATGGCTTTTTTGCTTTTTTCTTCAATAAAAAAAGTACTAAACTTTAGAGGAACCCTTCAAATGTCAACCACAGGAATAGCTTGTTAGCCTGAATAAAATCCATTCAGTGTTCCAAAAAAAGCCATTTTTCACTCATGACTAATGTGAGATCAAAATCTGCAGATGATCCTTTTGTGAGACTCTGCAGCAACAGTAACAGCAGTAACTCAGAGACCTCTGTGCTACTCTGTCCTTCCCCATGACGAGAGGAAGTGATTAATATAGCTAAAGCAACTGTTGTTATTCTTCTGGTTTTATTTTCTGAGCAGTGTCCCTTCCCTGGAGCTGTCATTGAGGAAGTTCACTGCCTGTGTGGTGTTCACACTGTTCATCTGCCTTTCTCACACTGTGTCACCATGACAGCCAGAGAACTGCCAGGAAGAGGCTACAAAACCACACCAGACAGGGGTTCTCCCACAAGAGAGGCTGTCCCAGTGCAGACCAGCACCTCCACTGAGTGAAAGAGGCTGTGAGGGGTCACACTCCTTGCTGGTGATGTCTCCTGGGCTAGAGCCTCAGCTGGCTTAGACTCAGCCTTAGTGTAAGTCAGCTTTGCAGTTCTCCATCCCTGCAGAAATGTGGTTCCTTGCACAAAAGTTACCCAGAATTCCAGGAAAGAGTTCACTGGCTTACTCCCAAGATTTAACTGACAGCATTCTTTAAGTTTCTGAAGCAAATCCATGAGCTCTGAGATATTCACACGGTGGTAACTAAGACTGACAGGACTGAGGTCACCCTGGTACAGAAAGACAGCTGCAGTCTTGATTGACTTCATTTGAAGCCCAAGTTTCTGTTCCCAACACAAGAAAAGTGTATCCACAACATGTGAGAGATAGAGGCTCAAGCCTCCCCAGCACATGGGAAAGCAGTTTGCTCCAAGACACGTCAGACCAGGGAGGAGAGAGAAGAAACCTTTCAGCACCAGTTCCCCTGCCAAGTGGTACCTGCTGCAGGACCTGCAAGAGATGCACACAGAGAACCTCTTTCCTCTCAGCAGACAGCACAAAGAGGATGTGCTGAGGCCAATGCTTATGGTGGTGACGGATGTGGAGGACTCGGCAGCCACATCCTCCCTCCAGAGTGTGCATATAAGGGTCAAACCAATCTTTCAGTCTGCTTTTCCTGTTACCAACAGAGCTGGGCCATGGGGGTGGGAGAGGAGGAAATCCCCACCTGATTTCTGTGTGGGGCAAGTCCTGTTGCCACTCCTGGAGGCAGGAGATGGGGACAGCTGGCTGGGCTCCTCACCCACAACAGCAGGGCACAGCTCATGCTCTTCTGCTCACCAGATGTGGTAGGGCAGCCCTGCAGCAAGGGAAGAGCAAACACCTGCAATGCCTGGGCCATGCCTGTGGCTAGTCCCTCTGCCCAGGAGGGCTCCAGCAGCCATCGAGCCCCAGGTAGGACAGGAACGAGAACATGCCCCAGCAGTTCTCCTCGACACTTCCCAGGACACCAACTCCATGACACATTCTCTCTCAAGGACTCCCTTGGCAGGGGCAGAGGAACATAGACTGCTGAGAGGGCAGTACCTGTGTCCCTAGGGACATCCAGGCTGAAGGCAGGGTGGCACCAGCATGATGCATCCCTCGGCATAAACTGGAACTGCATCAGGCCAGGACACACGAGCAGCAGCATTGTCTGGCTCCAAATTCCTGAAAGGGCCTGGCTGCCATCCACACTGGGCAAAATGGGCACTCATCACCCAGTGAGACAACTCCTTCACAGCTTCCCACTGTGTGAGCTAGCAGGCACAGGAGCTAACAACAACAGGGAATGGAAAACAGGTCCAGAACAGAGCGATCAAAACAGAGAAAGTGACAAAACGTCTGTTCACAGAGATGGAACAAAAGGATACGGAAAAAGTGAAGAGTTGCTTAAAAGGCACTATGAAAAAGAAGCAATACGAGTTGCAGACTCAAGGCCAGCCACGGAGCTGAAGGTATGTAAACACTGGCGAGCCCAGGGGAAAATGAATTAGCAGGAGAGGACTGCTCTTGACAGGGCTCCTGCTCATACGAGTTCGTCCGCCCCAGGGGAGAGCTCAAGAAGCCTTGAGACACGGCTGTGCGGTCTGAGAGCACCACGCTCCCCGAGGTTACTCAAACAAACTTCCCTCTGCCTCACTCGCAGATCAGACCAAGGGAAACTCAATCCAGGGCTACATTTCAACAGCTGGGAGAGCACAGCCAGGCACAGCATGCTCTGCTGGAGAGAGAGAAGCCAGGAGGGATTTACACAAGGCAGGAGCTCAACTCCTAAGGCCTAAGAGATGAGAGAACAGCAGGCTGCACGTCTCACAGCATTTCACAGAGTCCCAGCATGTTTTGTGTTGGAAGGGACCTGAAAGCTCATCTTGTTCCAACCCCCTGCCATGGGCAGGGACACCTCCCATTATCCTAGGGTGCTCCAAGCCCCATCCAACCCAGGGATGGAGCAGCCACAGCACCTCTGGGCAACCTGTGCCAGTGCCTCAACATCCTCACAGGGAGAATCTCTCCTAGTATCTAATCTAAACCTACTTTGTGTCAGTTTGAAGCCATTTCCCCTTGTCCTGTCACTCCAGGCCCTTGTACAAAGTCTCTCTCCACCTTTCTTGTAGGCTCCTTCAGGTAGTCCCTCTTCCCAGGACTGCTCTCCATCTGCCCATCCCCAGCCTGGACTGATACCAGGGTTTGTCCCAGTCTAGGTGCAGCACCAGCACTTGGCCTTGTTAAACTGCAGAGATTCCCATGGGCCACAGATGGGCTTTCCTTGCCCTGAATAATTAATGGGTTTTGTGGAAACAAGAGCAAAATACAACTCAAGCCTTACCATAGTCTCTTCTCCCAGGTGGCAAAGCAATGGGATAAGAGGAAACAGACTCAGCCTGCACTAGGGGAAGTTTAGGTCGGATATTAGGAAAAATCTCTTCACTGCAAGGGTGGTCAGGCATTGAAACAGGCTGGCCAGGGCAGTGGATTTGGACTGAGTCAAGACCTGTAGACAGTGTGGACAGGAAGTGAGCACAGCCAGAACTACAGTGTAAAGACTCAAACCCAGAGCAGACTATGGAAGACAGACATCTAAAAGATTAAAGAGAAAACGTCTCCAGCAGGAAGGATCAAAATCCTCCACTCCAGTCCCTTATGAGTGCCTAGTGGTGCTCCCCAGGCTGTCTAGGCACTGCAGTGTAAGACTGTAGCTGTTTTCTTAATAAACTGCACAGTGACAAACACCCTGAGATGCTTCATCCCTTGCTAATTGGCATGAGAAGTCAGGCTGCACTTCAGTGTCTGGTTTCCTCTGCTCAGTAAGAGCCTCTTTCCTCTGAACTCTGAAAAAAAAAATTAGGAATGAATGCTTGGCTGCCACAGCCAACTCTGATTTGCTGGATTTAGCATTAAATGCTGAGCCTTGAGGCTGCAGTGGATCCAGGAATGTTAGAAATCAGCAAACTCCTACCCTTCTGACACTCAGCAGTCTTCTGCTGCTGCTGCAGCTCTGGAGCTGGGCCAGCTCCCATGCAGTCAGCTCTGCCTACCTGAGGAGATCACCTACTCACCTGCAACACAAACACCTGAGCCTGCCAACTGGACTGTTGTTTTCCTCTAAGCCCTGACGCTAGTGAAGCTCAGCACTCAGTGAGGAGACAGGGCACCTGCCCTTTGAACACAGCCACACAGACATTCCTGTCATACTTGCCCAGCTCCTGCTTTCCAAGCTCCCAGGCCTCCCAATCCAGCCCAGTGCAAAGGCAATCTGCACCCCAGGCATGCTCTGGAAGGATGGTGAGGACTGAGTACTAGCCACACAGTCCCACTCCATCCACTTCCTATGACACAGCATCAATTTCCCTAATCCAGGGAGAAAATCTGGTCTGCTCCATCTGCCAAGAGCCCCACATGAGCAGTCCTTCTCAGAGATCTACTTTGCCATCTGTTGCAGTTATAGGCAGGATCTGTGCTCTCAGCCACAACACTCTTCAGACCCTCCAGGGTGTCAGTGGTTCCACATAAAGAAGCACAGCTGATTAGGAAGATAAAGAGGGTGTGAGTGAGGAAGCCTGTTTGAAAGTACAACAGAAACCTGGACTTCTATCCTGTAGCAACTACCCCCGAAGTGACAAAGAGTCACTGCATCCTGTGACATTCCTCATGCCACTGTCACTGGTTCCAATGTTTTCACAAGGCTGTGCTGCTAGCAAGTTGCTGCCTTTGGGTTCTCCCTTTTTTTGGGTTTTGTTTCCAGTCTCTGAAATCTACTGTCCCTTCCACAGACAGCACAAGACATTGCAGAAAACCTGTGTTAGGACCTGCCTGACATAATTCTCAGTGTTAAAGGTTCCTTCTCATGTGATTCCCACAGGCTGGACTCCCACTCGCAGGCAGGGACTGTTTCCAGGGGAGGCTGAGGTTCCCTTGCAGGAACACAGCTTTTGACCATCATCCCTAGAACCAGTCTAACAGCAGCAACAGAACACTCATATCTAAGCACGGAGAAAGCTCAAAGCACCTGCTTGTCTGGAATAGCCTTGAGGACCGAGACTGTCCCCATGTGAGAAAGGAAAAGCAACAGGCTCCATTGCAGTTCTGGCTATTGCTGTGGGAAAGAAAGTCAGGAGGAGAGGAACTCCCTTGTGATGAGTTGGTTCTGGCTCCCAGAATCAGCAGGATGAGCTGGAACAAGGGAGACTCCCATGCAGTGAATCTTCTGCAGCTGCCAGTGGTGAGCAAAGGAGCTTGGAATGAGTGACCTCCCTGTGCAATGAGGTAACACCACCTGCCTAATGAGAAAGGGCAAGAGGTGCCTTCTGGAACGAGCCAGAACCTGCTGGGAGGATATAACAACACAGGGCACTTCCCTGGCAGAGCAGAGGAGCTCCCATTAAACCATTAAGGCAGGGCACAGTGCCAGACTGCCCACAGCCCTTGCAGAAATCAGGCCCCACCTTGCAGGCCACCCCAGAAACACATCTCTCCGAGACAGGTGGCTCCATCCTGTTCCTGCCCGTGTGTCTGCCAGGCACAGTACCTGCCGTGAAGATCTGGGCAGCCACAGCCAGGAAGGCGTCAGTCACCACCGACTCCGAGTGCAGAGAGATGTTCAGCTGGCGCGCGATGTTCCGGTAGACGTTGGGGCGAATGTATTCCAGCTCGTCCCCTGCAAACAAACAGCCAGGACTCAGCCTGCAAACACCAAGCCCTGCTCTCACCGGGCAGGAATTGTGGCTGGGGCCACCCCACAACCTCTTCGGCCAAAGAGGCTCCAGCTCAGCTCCAGCTGAGCTCAGGCAGGCGGCAGAGAGCGTAGGGTGGCTCACACGCAGCCCCTGCAGTCCCACTGTCCCCAGTGCCTTTCAGGGAGTGGGACAGGCACTGGCCCTGCACCAGTGGTGTGGCTGCAGCAGCCCCTGGCACAAACACTGCTCCCAGTCTGGCTGTCTCTCCTCCAGCACGGGAGACAGGCCCCAGGTGAGCCAAGGCATCTCGCCTCTCTGCAGGAGCGAGGAGGAGGCACACACATCCAGGGCAGCTTTTGGGAGATACATCCTTCTCAGCACCCCATCAGGCTTGTGAAAAACGCCTGCAGCGCACGAGAGCAGCCCAGGAATGATGGAGGCTGATGAAAGCCAAGGATCCACCCAGAGCTGCACAACATTAGCTGAGCAGAGACTCTCAGCTCAGCTGTTTCACTCACACAGGCACCGAGTGTCTATCTAGGGTTCTTTCTCTCCACCAAACAGTTAAAAAGAGCTGTTCCTCTGAGTGACTGACTCCTCAGCAGCAAGGTTCCTGACACACAGACATGTGCTTTCACCTCCAGAGTGCTTTCTCCCCAGCTGGGACACGGCTGGAGGTGTCAGGACAGCTTGAAGACCAAGACGGACATACCAAGGACAAGCAGAGAACCTCCTCCCACAGGACTGAACTATGGAGCTTGGGCAACAGCAGTAAAGCTTTTCCTTTGTAGTGAAACAAACAATTTTTGAGCAGCAGAATTAACAGAGCCCAATTTCCAATGGATTTCTCTCTATATAGGGCTCCCAGGTATTTAATGAAGGTTACCCAGCTGCAGTGGGAGTGTGACACAACGTAAACATCACATGGGACCAAAGCCTTTGTGCACAGAGAGTCCTGTTTGGCTTAGGTTTGGGACACTGTTCCTTTCTCCTGCACAAAGGTGCTCTGGGAAGAGGAGGAGCTATCTCAAGAACTTTACATCCCACTGGGAGACCCAGGTGACTTGTGCCAGCCAGAGGGCAACTGCTCCTGGAAATTTCATATGGGAGTTAAAACGGAAGATGCCACCACAATCAGGAGCTTGTTACAGAGTAATTAGCTACTGACCCTTCATTCATTGAATTGGCATTCAGCACAGGCAAAACCTAGCCCTACAGAATTCCACAGCTGAACTCCTTGGGCCCTTTCTGAGTGTGGGATTGTCCCAGCCTGATGGAGAGAGGAAACCCTGCCAACACATGGTCAGCCCTGATAAGGGGAAATATTACTTGTGCTGCTCAACAGCTGTTTTCTCCTCGAGGGGAGCACACAGGCTCCCCGTGAATGTAAGGAAACAGGGATAGCCCTGCCTGGGGCTGGAGAGGGCGGCACGGCAGGTTGGGATCGGCACTTGGTACCCTGCCACTGTTTCAGCTTCTAACAAGTAGTGCCTGGAGGCCCCAGATGAGATCAGGGTGTGATTGAGGCACACAGGCCCTGCCCTGAAGCAGACAGGAGCATCCGGGGAAGGAAAGCACAGGAAAGTATTCCCAGGCTGAGACACCCTGCCCCAGCAGCCCCAGGACCTCTCCCACAGCATGCTACACCGATGCTGGTCTTCAGAGTCCTTGCTCAGATGCCCAGCTTTGCAACTTTTAGAGTAGTTTCTGTGCTTCTCCCCTTTCCCCCAGTGATCGTGGAGGGATGGGAAGGCAGCAGTGGCAGTTCTCACAAGCAGAAGCTCAGTGCAGTGGTGAAAAGGCACTTCCCTGGGCCTTGGCCAGAGGAAATCCACGTTCAGATAAACCTGACACACACTGCATGTTGGTCTGGGGCATCTCACCACTAGGTTTTACCACCTCTGACTCATTAACTGCACCAATCAGCTGTCACACCTCACTGAAGTGATAGGCTCTCACTCCCCAAGACTGCAACTGCATCATCTGTACCTTGGCTGGTCCACCAGCCAGTGAACTGGGCTAGGAAATACTTCAACTTCCCATCTCCACAGCTTCTCAGCACAGAGAAGAAAACTGGTCTGGCTTGTTGCACTGCTTAGCCACTTGGCTATGGACTACCACTCCTGGCAGACAGCTGGATACCACTTGGCTAGAGCAGCAAAGGGGAAAAGAAGGAGGTGGGCCACGTGGCAAGTGGAGTGTCTGAACAAACAGGACAGAAACAACTCCTCATCCTAATGAGGAGGACTGCTCATCCTCCCTGTTGCATGAGTACCACATGGCACTCTCCAAACGGATTTGCTCAGAGAAGGTGCCAAGTTCCTGGGACTATCAGCCAAATCTTTCCATCTGGACATGGATAAGTAACAGGATTGTCATCCAGGAGACGCCTTCAGATCCAGCGTGCCACCTGCTTGCCCTTTAACATGGTCCTGGCCACCCACAGAAGATCTGGTTGAAAGCAAATAAATCTCAACCCCCAACCTAGGTAGAGAAGAAAGGGAAGAGAAAGAGGAAGAAAGACAGACAGAAGAACAAAAAAATTACCCTTAAGACCAAACAATCACCTGGACACAAACCTAGAAGTAAAGTCAGAATAGGAGAGAAAAGGTGAAAAAGAATTGATGTAAAAAAATCAGTTAAAAGAAACACAGCTATGCCTTAAAAAGAAACTTGGGATAAGATCAAACAGAGGTGCCTGGTCCTGAGTTTGTTAGGCCCAGCTAAAGGTTACTGCAGACTTGTTTGAACTCCGGTGTGATTAAATCAAATGCAAATGCTGGTGGTAGTTTCCAAGGCAGATGTGAACTAATACACCACCCTGCAGGCAAAGAAGGATGTGGGAAGCAACTTCCAAGAATGAGGGTGTCAGGATCCCAGAAGAGAATTGGCTATGCTTGAGCACACAGGATGCTCCAACCCAAAACAAAAGTCCAGGTGACCCCCAGCTGGAAAAAAACTGCAAGGCCCATTGAAATGCCCAGCTGAGAAGGACTGCTGAAAGCACTGTGAGAACTGTCATACAGCTGGAGTCCTGGGCAGAGAGAATTAGGTTGCTCTTGGGCTCTCTGGGGCTGTATCATGCTTTTGAGTTGCTGCAAGTCCTTGGAAGAAGGCAGCTCTGCAGAAACCCTGTGCTGAGCAATGCTCCAGGGGGCTGAGAAAAGCCAAGCAAAGGAGTTGCTTAGGGAGGATCACCGAAACCAAAACTAAACACTCAAAGCAGAGAAGAAAAACCTCTGTATCATCACATAAGAAGCCTCTTGGCACTCAGCAGTTCCAGAAACCTTAGTCAAGGCCAAATTGCTGCACAGTGGCTCCCACCCACGCCCGCAGGACTCACCCAGCCGTAGCAGGATGGTGGACACCTCTGCCAGCTTCCCCCCGGGCACCGGCACGTTGTGCTCGGGTTTGCTCCAGCTGACACCTGCGCGAACCAGCCTAGAGTTGATGTAGTCTCTGCAGAGAGCCTTGGCTTGGGATACCAGCTCCTTGTCAGTGGGAGACCTGTCAAAAACCTCCATCACCTCTGCAGCAAAGACGGAGGAGCGGCGCAGCACCTCCATCCTCGGCTGCTGACCCACACCGCAGCGCACACCACGAGGCTGAGCTGGCGCCTTGACGCAGCTGTGCAGTGATCCTCTGCCCTCCTTTGTCACAGCTCCCAGCAGCTCCTCTCCACAGGCCAGCTTTTCATTTCACCTGGGGAAAAAAGCATCTGTAAGTCCTCGAGCATCACAAATCAGGATACAGTTACACTAAGGGCAGTAGAATCACATTTGCAAACATGTCTTGATGCATCTTACAGCCAAGGGGCAAAGTGTTCCTTCTGCCTTTCAGCCACTCCAGCTGTCCCTGGCAGCATAGCCCCTTGGAAGGGCTGCACTTTTGAATTCTTGATGTGTTTCCTCTTTTCCAGGTCAGACTGGGCAGTCCTAGAATTACCCGTCAGAGAGACTAGACAGTCAGAGCACGGAAACAATTCACAGAATGTGTAGACAATCTCAGCTTGTTTCAATTATACTGGGGAAAAATATCCCAAATACCAGCTACAGTAACCTCAACCAGATGTCAACAGACACTCCAGCTCAGTAGGTCACGGATCTTTTGGAAGGAATGGCACTACTGCAGGAACAGGGGGTTGGGAGCATCCAAAATGCCTCAATGGAGACAATTCACCACATTCCCAGCTTAGGTTTTGGTTCTGCCACTCTTTTTCCCCAAAGCAAAAGAAGCAACACTACTTCTTGAAAACCTTCAGCACTAGCAGAGAGAGCAAAACCGAAAAGCAGATTTTTGAAAAGCTTTCTGGAGTGAATGCCTGAAGAGACACTTAAAAATTTCTCCAGAGGCACCTGGATTAATCTGCTGACCTGAGTATTAAACCCAGCGCTGCTTTGGAAGTCAGAGTCAGATCAGTCTTTATCCAGATGTTAGTAAATGCATTTTACAGTCCACATTTTCAGACATCTACTTACAAGGATGATTTCTCAAATGAAATAAAACCAGTTATCGCTGTTTGCCCCAAGCAAAAAGGTATTTACCTCTCGTGTTGCACTTTTTCCCTCTCAGTGATTTCTGTTTGGGTTTGGTTTCACGTTTCTTTGGAAGATCTGCATCACTGCACACCTGGTTTGGGATTCACAGAGCACTGTCACACTCCTCCTGTGCCGTGCTCACACTTGCCCATCTCCAGCGCTGCATCCCGGCTGCACTCCAGGATCCTTGGGCTTCCTCCTGCTTTTAAGGCACCCAGGCGCAGGGAAAGCTTTGGCTTTAGCCTTGTAAGGAAGATGAAATAACCAGGAGGTGGGGTTGCTATAGCCTGGGAGAGAAGCTTTCTCCTCCCCTTTCTTCTCTCTTAAGGAGGTTCTTTGTTGTTCTTCCTTGAGCTCCATTCAAGGACTCCTCCTCAGGGCGAGGGTGGGAGCATAATTTCTGGACCAAGCTGCCCAAGTACCAGAGAGCAATGAAAGTTAGCCTTGTAAGGAAGATGAAATAACCAGGAGGTGGGGTTGCTATAGCCTGGGAGAGAAGCTTTCTCCTCCCCTTTCTTCTCTCTTAAGGAGGTTCTTTGTTGTTCTTCCTTGAGCTCCATTCAAGGACTCCTCCTCAGGGCGAGGGTGGGAGCATAATTTCTGGACCAAGCTGCCCAAGTACCAGAGAGCAATGAAAGCACTGCTGAAACAGGCTCCTGCTGATCCTGCGGAACTCCCACAGCAGCTCTAGCAGAGTCAATGTTGGTCATTTTCACATGGTAGCCAAGTGGGATAACTGCACATTGTCATACCTCAGTGGGGGTTAACCCTACCACTTCAGCCACCTCCATCACTTCGGACTGTGTCCCTGCCCGTGGCAGGGGTTGGAACTAGGTGATCTGTAAGGTCTCTTCCACCTGGAACCACTCTGGGATTCTGTGAGGGCTCTGTGACTAACAGAGAGAGCCACAGCTTGGGGCTGAGGCAAGTGGCACCTGCACCCCCTGAACTATGAGCACTCTGGTTGAAAAGAAGTGACATGGCTTTGCTGAGAGGAAATAATTTGTCCAGAATTAAGTGTTTTGCAGGAACTTGTCCAATTTATGTCAGTGCGTTAACAAAACAAATATAAAGTTACAGGAAAACATTTTGATTAGTTCCAACATACTTATAAATTAATTTCCACATTGACTTCTTGTTGCAACATTATTGTATTGATGCTGCAGTGCTCAACTTTCTCCCGTGTGTGGCTGACACTGTTTCACCTCAACACACCACACACAAGTGTTGGCCTGTTGCGTCGTGATTTGAAACAAAAGAAGTTTCAGAAACAGAAGTTTCCTGCAGCCAAGAATTTCTCCCAGCCCAAACTCTCCCCACCAAATAACAATGTGTAGACTAACAACTGGGTCATGGCATGTCCCAAACAAAGCCTTTCTGAAAGGAGGTCAGGACAGAGCAATGACCATTGTCGGCACCCGTCAAGAAAAGACAGAGCCAAGTACACCTCTCCAAGGTGTCGATGACCAAAATCCCTCAAATACAACCTTTGCAACCTTGATGGCTGAAAAATCTGTAAAACTTGTGCCTTAGCTTCCTGCAGCAGCTGACAGCTTGAAACAGGGACCCTGTTTAACCTGTGCCCATGCAGCAGGGCTCCCAAAAAAGACAAATGCTTAAATTCCAGTATTGCTTCACTAACTATAAGGTTTCCCAGAAGTCTGGCAGACGTGGAGTGCCACGGTGCCTCCCATCTCCCCACGGTGCCAATCTCATCCCACATGCTCCCTGCCAAGCTGGCACCACACAGCACCCCCTCAGCTTCTGCCCTGCAGCAAAGGCACACAAGGGTTGGGTATAACAAACCAAACCTTGTGCCACAAAGAAAATCTCCCACCAGCACTGCATGGCATCCCACCTATATTATTTACAGACTAAAAATACAGCTTCACACCGAAATATGCCTCTGGGAGTAAAACCAGGTGAAATCACAGCATATAGGACTCAGCTGACCACAAGAGAACAGGGCACTGCAATCCAAGGAGCTGTGGCTGTAATCAGAGCCCGTTTTTCCACAGTCTACACTGGGAAAACCTCTGTGGCAAAGAAGTAAGAGGAGATGGTGCAGAAGTAGCTTCTGTCACCCCAAAGCATTGTTCCCAGTGCAGCTCTGACTGGTAGCACAGTGCTCTGGCTGGGCCAGGCTCTGCACTGCTCTCCTGCCCATCTCTGTGGGGCATCCAAAGCAGCTGGGAGCACTCCTTCAGCAAAACCAGAGCCCCACGGAGATATGGCTATGCTTTATAAGCTTGTCAAGTGGAAGCAAACCTGGGGAAGCTACGTAGGTGAGAACACAGTGGACAGCTCCTGTTCAACATCAAATAGTGTAACTGCTAGAGAAAGAAGTCTCTGAAAGGGCCTTTTAGCAGTCACAGTGAAAGGAAAATAGCTAGTGAACTGTGAGAACACCGAGTTTATGAAAGGGTCTGCAGGATAAGGATGCCTGCATGAGCACAGGAATAACCCCAGGGCCCTAGGAGGTCACTCAGCCTCGTGTTCCCACAGCCTGGCTCCTACTGGAGTTACTGTTCTGTCTCACCTCGCAGTGACAATCCCAACCACTTCACACAGACTGCAATTCCAGAGGAAATCACACTGTGACAGAGACCCCATGTTCTGAACGCTGCAGAGTAAGGGCTGGAGAAGCAGAGAGATGCCAAAACTACACAGTAATCTCCAGAGAACCTGGGACCAACCCTGCTAGACCCTACCAGCTAGGAGAGGTTTTCCTTCAGAGACAAAATGCTCTGGCATGACACTGAAACCATCTCCGAACCACCTTCTGCATGATCTCACCCAGTTTTAACACACAATTTTATCCCCATTGCCTCTTCTGCTCTGATTTTCGCAGCAATCCTTTGATTCTGTGTTTGAAGTTAGCACTCAGCACTGCAGAAACACCTACAGTGTGAGGCTTTGGGCTGCCAAGCTGTGCAGGAGGAACAGGGAGGTTGCAAGAAACACTTCTTTTCATATAGAAATATTTTTCCAGCTGCAACAGGAAAACAATACATGGAAGCAGCAGTTTAATGGGAACCAAGCAAAACAGAGGCCTTTTGAGCCTTTCTCTCGATTCTGAGGCCTCCTCACAGCCAAGCAGTGAGCTGTAGTCCTTGCATGATGGGACCACCCTGGAGCACCTCTCCTGGAGCAGGATTTTGCAGTGCCAAGTGTCATGTGCCACACCAAAGAGATTGTGCCACAGTCAGCTTATTTCCACAGCCTTTAGGTGATTCTCCTTCATGAGGATACAGGTCTAGTGACTCAAAGTTCAGTGGCCAATCCCTTACTTTGGTTTCTGAGAAAGATCAGCACTGACACCAGAAGTTTTTCCCTCTTAACCCACTGCCATGTTCATTGCTGCTGTGGACACAACTTCCTTGTTATCTATATGTTTTGACAAAGGCAGAACAAAGACACTGTGTACTCCAGAACTGATGTACAAACACAGCAAAGGGGAAACTGCAACAGGAATTTAATTAGCATAGGAGCTGAATCACAGAACATCTCTACATGTGCCCCTGAATCTTACTCTGGAAATGCTGCCTGAAAAGAGTTGAACCAGCCATTGCTCAGGTCCCAGGCAGCAGCTGACACTAAACCAGCAGCTTCCACCTACACCTAGGGCTTTGATGAGGCTGCATCATCTGCCTAAGAACCTAATTGAATAGATACCACTGTTTTGTTTGTCTCTTAGTTTGCCTCAAAAATGCTTATTTTAATGAATGGATCGTCTCATAAGCCAAGAAGGCAACAGACACAAAGAAATAAGAAGTTTCAGTTGCTTGACAGCCAGAGCTTTGTTCTGAAACACAAACAAAACACCACCAAAAGAGAAAAGGTAGAAAACAGCTAATGAAGTCACTGTCCACCAGAAAGGAAAGAATTCTCTTCCCTTTCGACCTCTAACCAGCCAAGGCAACACAGGGTGATCCTTTGTCTCATTCTAGCAATTGACCACCCACCTGGCCTGGGAATCAGGTCACACTCACAGGACGCAAGCACAGGGACAGGTAGAGCTGGGCAGGGGCCTCTGCCTGCAGAGATCCTGAAGCTCTGAGTCTGCAGTGGTGCAAGCCCTTGTGCACTGGTGCAGCAGCATTTGTGAGCTCTGACACATTGGCCTGCAGCCCTGTGCTAGCACAGAGACATGTTCTGCATGGGCCAAGGGGATGCTGGAGCTGACAACCACAGGGCAGGGTCACCCTGCACACACGTCCCTGCCCTAAACATACTCCAGGGGATCTAGACTCCTATTTGCATATCCAGAATGTAACCCCACTTGCAATTAAACCCTTGGTGACTTTCAGAAAGCCTCTCCAGTCTCTTCACTCTCAGCCTCCAGCACTGGCAGGGCAGAGCTGTGCTCCTAAGAAACCTGTTTTTCCAAGCTCTCAGACAAGGGGGAAGGCTAATGTTTCTAGTCTGCACAGATTGAATTCAGAGTGCACCATTGTTTGACACACAGCATTAGGATGCTACTCCACCCTGATTGCCAGCAAAACATTTCTACACACTCAATACACCTCTGGACTTTGTGGAACTCCACGCTGACAAAAGTTTTCTTCAAGGCTGCACTGGTTAACAAGATTTACCTCTCTTACCCAGAGGAGCAGTGCAGGGCTGGGTTTGTTCAGCAGCAGGGTCAGCTAAAGCAACCTTCATGTCCAGCTGCTCATACCCATTCCCAAACTGACCTTGCTGATTGCACTGCTGTAACTTAGTGGTTGCAAGAGTCAGGAGGCTCGTGGTGCTCTGCCTCTTGCCCAGAGCATCTCTGTGCACTGCCATGACAACAGCAACCACCTGGCCAGAGCTGAGCAGCACTGCCAGAGATGCTCAGGGTGGGCCCAAAGCAGCCAAAGTCATTCAAGTCAGTTTTAATCATATTTAAGAATCAGCAAGCAGGAAATTTGTTTGAGGTCACTGATTTTAATCTGGGTTCATATTTGTTTCTAAGGGAGGGTGAGTCTCAGGCTTGAAGGAACTGAGACCTGTTTATCTGCATGTGAACAGAGCTCATTGCTATGGTTTCTCTCTCAGATAAAAAGGAAAAAAAGTGATGTGCAGTTAAGCAATTCTACAGCTGATATCAATCAGAAATCTGGACATGTCCAGGGTGTTTTCT